AATGTGGCTTGTTATGTTGGGTAAAACGTGCTTGGGGAATGAGGTGGTCATAAGTCTTAAACTATTCTAACTTGAGTTTTCAGAGGCCTTTTTTTTTTTTTTTTTTTTTTCTTTTTAAACTTTGTCTATTTCTAGCTCTGAAAGTGTGAGATTTGGGTATGGGGTGGCCATTCATTCCACTTGGCCCCACTAGACCCAGGCTATATATGTTCTGGCATCTCATCTAGTTTGTACCCCTTTTCACGCAAGCATTCTGGTGTGATGGTACATTATATGGTCACCTTAGATTTGACAGAAGTGAAGGATTACCATAGTTTTGCATTTCTCTTTCATTATAAATTGTTTTTCATATTCGCTTGTGCCCCACCTTCCTATCCTTCTATAATCATAGCTAATAATCAGACTAAGGAGAAAACATGTTTAAAACCCAAAATCTAATTGCCTTTTTCCCCTCTATACACTAACATTTAATATAGAAATAACTCCCTTCTCCATCCACATTCCAAACCAATAAGTCATACAACTTCAATGAATTCGTACAGCATTCATTGAGACATTCAATAAATGATACGGGTACCCTGTATCAGCTTTTTTATTTTATAGATGCCGAGCCCCACACATCTCAGTTTCAGAGATTCATAGAAGTTAAATGTGACTTATCCTGTATAAGTGGTACATTACTGATGGGAGTACTCTGTCCCAGGTCACTTGATGCCCATTGTTCTCTCTACTGTGTAAAGCAGTAAAAAGTGTTTTTATGGCAAAGGTCAGGATTTTCCAAAGTGTGTCATACAAGCACATTCCTTTAATGCTCTGTGGAACAAAGGCGCTCCTTTAGATCATTGCTGAATACTTCCTCCTGGAGGTTCACAATGCACCTTAGCACTTTAAAGATGCTAAAACATTCTGAAGTAAAGAGACCTATCGGTTTTTGTTTAATCCTGCATTTTCCAAACTTTGGGAAAACACTTTGGAAATGCTGGTCAGGGTTTTTTGGAAGGCAGAGAGGTTGATTTTTTTTCTAAAAATAATCTCATGGGATTGTTAATTCTGTTACCTTCAGTATCATTTTTCCCCTTCAGTTGGGTCTGCTGCAGTCACTGAAGCTTGTTTTAAGCCAGTTAGATCATTTGATTGAGATTAGGTCATATTGACTGTTAACAGAGAGCTCTCTTCCAGAATGATGATTCTATAAAAAGGATTTATCAGTTTTCTAGGGCCATTTGCATCCTCTGGGCCTTCTCTTTCCTTTCCTTTCCTTTCCTTTCCTTTCCTTTCCTGCCATGTAATCCAAAAATTGGATTTCATCCTGTTTTATGTAGGAGACAGACAAAAGTTGCCTAGAATGAAAACATTCCTGAGAGTTTTAACTCTTATTCTCATTTCCAGCATCTAAAGGCAGTGGGTTAGATTAAGAACTAAATAACATAATACTGTGTTCCATATAGCATAGGGTTTTGGTTACTTAATAAATAAAAGTATTCCTTGAGAATTTTGAGAAATAGGGTTTTAGTACTATAACTGCACAGTCAGGATTACCCCCAGGATTTGAAACTGAGGACACAAGGTGGACTTAAGGGTTATATCTGATCCTGAAAAATCTCTCCCACTAAGTCTTTCCAAGACCTGTGTTTATTTTAGTATTGGAGCTCCAGTAGGAAATACGAATGTTGCCCAAATCAGTTCATCTTGAAGAGGATTCCCATTGACTAGCAGCAACCAGGAAGAGACTCTATCCCTAAGTCCCAAAGACATTTTATTTCAAGTCACCTCTCCAGGGTGAGACCCCAGCTGTCCCTGTGGTGCTAATTACAGTGGTACTTGCCCAAGCATCTTTATATCAGCCTGTGACTTCCCTAGTGCTTACTAGGTGGTCTTGTTCTCCAGTGGGACTGATGATGTTTTGTAACCTTTGTATGTTTGCTTTAGAATATCTAATTATGCTCATAAAATTGAGCTTTTTAAAAAAAGAAGAAAGGAAAAAGAAAAGTCATTTTTGACATGGTTTAAATTTCAGACAGACCTGGTAACAGTGTTTTGTGTCCCTATGAATCTTGCAGAAGTCTCAGATGAAAATAATTCTTGGGGCACCTGGGTGGCTCAGTGGGTTAAAGCTCTGCCTTCGGCTCAGGTCGTGATCTCAGGGACCTGGGATCGAGCCCCACATCGGGCTCTCTGCTCAGCAGGGAGCCTGCTTCTCCCTCTCCCTCTGCCTGCATCTCTGCCTACTTGTGATCTCTGTCTGTCAAATAAATAAATAAAATCTTTGAAAAAGAAAAAAAAATAATTCTTCCATGTGTATGTGCATACTGCATTACACTGTGACAGAGAGTTGGAGTAGGAACTCTGTCCACTTTACTTTGGACACTGATTTTTCTTCATCTTGAAACATGGCACCATTCTTGTTTTGTTTCAGCAGTATACTCAGCCATGTTAGTGAGTTTGCTCTGCAGTCTTTAAAAATTAAAAAGCAAACAGGGGCACCTGGTTTGCTCAGTGGGTAAAGTATTCTGTTCTTGATTTCGGCTCAGGTCATGGTCTTGGGGTCATGCGATTAAGCCCCAGTCAGGCTCCACGCTCAGTGGGGAGTCTTGGAAATTCTCTCTCTCCTTCCCCCTGCTTGTGCGCACACATATACACACACACACTCTCTCTCTCTCTCTCTCTTTCTCTGTCTCTCAAAATAAATAATAGCAAACAAAACAAATGAAGCAATATGTAACTTCAAGAATGAGTAAAGAAGGAAGTGAGAAGAGACGTACCATAAGAGGGACATTTTACCAGCACTTTTTACCATCCATTACTTCCAGATTCAAAGCTCATCTTTTTAATGTTTTTTCTCTCATTTTGGTAAAGGCTTTTATTTTGCATAATGTTTTTATTCTGCATTCTGAACATATTTCAAATTTGAAAAAGAATTCTCTGTGCTGTTTTTGTGTTTTAACTACAAATCTTCAGTGAGAAAAGGATTTGACCTATGAATGAGGCTACAAACTTGGCTTCCAGGACTCCGGTTTTTTCTTTTCTTTTCTTTTTAAGATTTTATTTATGTATTTGACACATTGAGAGAGAGAGAGAGGGCGCACACACAGAGGCAGGGAGAGCAGCAGCAGAAGAGAGAGAAGCAGGCTTTCCACTGAGCAGGGAGCCCAGTGTGGGACTCGATCCCAGCACCCTGAAATCATGACCTGAGCCAAAGGCAGATGCTTAACCAACTGAGTCATCCAGGCGCCCTGACCCTAGTTTTTTCTAAAGAACCACTAGAAGTACCTGCTGGAACCTTAAATGCTTTTAAGGAGCTATTAAAAATCTTTGAAAAGCTATTTCAAATCCTAGTTTGAAAACTAGGATTTATTAGACCCACTGTTTTTTTTTTTTTAAGATTTTATTAATATTTGAGAGAGAGAGAGAGCGAGTGAAAGAGAGCATGAGCAAGGGGAGTGGGAGAGGGAGAAGCAGACTTCGCACTGAGCAGGGAGCCTAATGTGGGGCTCAATCCCAGGACCCTGAGATCATGACATGAGCTGAAGGCAGCCGCTCAACCAACTGAGCCACCCAGGTGCCCCAGACCAACTGTTTCTTAAGTTTGAACTGAAATTAACACAGGCAGATTTAATTTTCCATTTTATAAGAATTGACAACATTTAATGTTAACTATACTTCAATGATAAAGTTTTTTTTTAATTGACAGTGTTCAAAATTACCCAAAAGGCAGCCTTTTCTACATATCTAATATTTAAGAATAGAAAACTGAATTTACTCACATTAAGCATCAAACTTCAAAAAAACTGACTTTGCTGGAAGAAGTCATTTTCTTGACCATTTAATGTTTACAAAATAGTCAGTTATTAAACTCTTTGGCTTTCTTGCTAGGTAGTTCTTACAGAATGCACTGTCAAATTCCTGTCTACCCGTAGCCTCTCTGACTTCAGTAGCAGGCACCCAGAGTAAAAAGTCTAATAACATGCTGCGTTTTCCTTGGTAGGTAGGTGAATTTCAGCTAAGAAATTTGCTTGTGTGAGTGAATGATTTGGCATAATATCCAGTTTATAGAAGGTTTCCAAGTCTTGAACACTACAGGTAGATCATTCTATGCTTAAATTCTCATAAATATGGCGGAAAAGATTGAGGGAAGCAAAGATGCTAACAGTGATTTTCTTAAACTTGAATTCCTAAGGTTATTCTGACAGTAACAGAGATGAAAATAAATTCCGAGACTCTTGACACAGTTCTGTTTTCTAGCAGATTTTTTGTGATTTTGCGCGTGTGTATTTATTATTTGTTAAAATGCTTCATTCTTCTTTACAAGGCTAGATTACCTCCTGGTTGGTTTTGTAACCATTAAAATAAATTGTGTTTTCTCTTGAACAGTTATCCCTCTTAGATAAATTTTATATATCCAGATGCTATACAGATACAGTATTCCTATTAACCCTGTTGTCTGATCTTAGAACGTCTTCTCTTTGTGTGTGTCTTCTGCCGGCAGCTGTGAAAGTTAGAGTTCCATGGTGTGGAATTTTTTCTGTAATTGTTAACATTACCTCTTATGGGTACTGCTCTGTCCATGTTAAGTCATATCAGGTACTAGAAAGCAGTATTTTTATTTCAGGGCTTCATGAGGAGGTCTGCCTCTAATACCAACCTCTTTAATGTTTATAAATTGCTTAGAATGTTGGATTATAATGACTAATGGTTGCTTCTAAGGAGTAAGAAAAAATATTGAAAAATTTTTTAGTCTCTAAATACTTTACCCTGTGATTTGAAATACTCTTTCCATAATTATATATTTAAATTAGTCTGATTTGTTACTTTTCACTGCCTTAGAAAGTATATAATTGGTACATTTTATGGCTTAAAATTGCAGCTACCACTGATTCATAATTCAAGTTTAACTATTTGTTTACATTTTCTGAAATTTTTACATATGAATTTGACAGCACGTCATTTGCAAATAAAAGCAGTATTCACTAGCTTGCTTTTTTTTAAGTGTGCAATTTGAGATACATTTGAAAAAATGAATAAAATTATTTTTGTTTCATATCAAGAAATGGATGAAAAGAGGCTGCTGGATCCAGGGTTGAAAGTTCGTAAAGGCCTCTGGGATTACACTCTGAAGAACCAGCAGGTGGAATGCCTGAGTGACTGAAGAAAATGGGTGCTAATGCATCTACCTATCCTCATGCATGTTCCCCGAGGGTAGGGGGAAATTCTCAAGCCCAGCAGACTTTTATAGGTAACTGTTTCAGTTTTTCTCATTTCTTTTTTTTGTTAATATAAATAGAATTGTATTTTCAGTGGTCTTTCTGGATGAAAGGAGAGTTTAACGGTGAAAAAGTTATAGATAATAATTCTGCAACACCCAGCTTTTCCCCCGACAAATGTAAATCTGTCTTGTATGATTTTTATCCTGACCAAGGTCCTATAGCACCATTGATCTTTCCTTTGGTGTCTTAGCTGTAATTGCCAGTTGCCCTCAAAAACCTGGCAGTCTCCATTGGTGTAAAAATTGTGAAATACAAGCTTCTTGCATCCTGGCCCATTTACTTTCCCCAGTGCAAAGCAGCCTTGGTGTAATTAGGAAGAAGAAAAAAATCACAATTATATACAAGTAGTATTCTTAATTTACAAATCTGCTTTACTCTCATTTCCTAAAAATCCTTAATTAAAATCTGTGATATCTGGTTTTTGAAAGCCAGAGAACCAAAAGCATTTTGTCAAGTAAAAAATAATCTGCTGTTAGTTTCTATTCCTTATTTGATATAGAAGTAAATTATTTGAGCTTTTTAATAACTTCATTTATAGAAACAGAAGTCAGTTTTATTTGAATGGTTCAGGAATGTCTGTTGGTAAAAATTTTTAGCATGAAGTATGTGTTAAAGTGAACATTGAAAATGAATGTTAGGAACAAAGAAACAAATTTTCATTTGTTTGATTTCCTTCTTAGGGACATCATCCTATTCTCAGCAAGGCTATGGTTGTGAATCAAAATTATATAGCCTTGACCATGGCCATGAGAAACCACAAGACAAAAAAAAGAGAACCTCTGGCCTTGCCACCCTCAAAAAGAAGTTTATTAAGCGTCGAAAATCTAATAGGTCTGCCGATCATGCCAAGCAGATGCGAGAACTCCTCTCTGGGTGGGATGTTAGAGATGTTAATGCTTTAGTGGAGGAATATGAGGGAACTTCAGCCTTAAAGGAGCTTTCTCTACAAGCCAGTTTGGCTAGACCAGAAGCTCGGACATTGCAGAAAGATATGGCCGATCTTTATGAGTACAAGTATTGTACCGACGTAGACTTAATATTTCAAGAAACTTGTTTTCCTGTTCATCGTGCCATTTTGGCGGCGAGGTGTCCGTTTTTTAAAACACTGCTTTCTTCCTCACCGGAGTATGGGGCAGAGATCATTATGGACATCAATACAGCTGGTATAGACATGCCCATGTTTTCTGCTTTGCTACACTACCTTTATACAGGAGAGTTTGGAATGGAGGACTCAAGGTTTCAAAATGTTGATATCCTCGTTCAGCTTAGTGAAGAATTTGGAACACCGAATTCCCTTGATGTAGACATGCGTGGACTTTTTGATTACATGTGTTATTATGATGTCGTCCTTAGTTTTTCTTCAGACTCTGAACTGGTTGAAGCTTTTGGTGGAAATCAGAACTGTTTAGATGAAGAGCTCAAAGCTCACAAGGCTATTATTTCAGCACGGTCCCCATTTTTTCGGAATTTATTACAAAGAAGGATACGGACTGGTGAAGAAATCACAGACCGAACTTTGCGGACTCCCACAAGAATTATATTAGATGAGTCCATTATACCAAAAAAATATGCGAAAGTGATATTACACTGTATGTATACTGATGTGGTGGACCTCTCCGTTTTGCACTGTAGCCCCTCGGTGGGGAGTCTCAGTGAGGTTCAGGCTCTCGTCACAGGGAAGCCAAACATGACCAGGGCAGAAGAAGCCATGGAACTTTACCACATAGCACTGTTCTTGGAATTTAACATGCTTGCACAAGGTATGAAATTCTGGTTTTTAATTTTGATTTCTAGAATTACATATTTGTCTTCCTGTGAAAACACAGCCAATATGTTCCATGATTTCACTGTTTGGGATGTGCGTGGGTCAGTTATTTTCTGTAGTTAAGGAATCTGAGAAAGAATTGAGGGTCAGTATTAATGTGGGTATTCATTTAGTACTAAAACCAAGCATTCAAAACTGGTGACTAAGAGCAAGAGATGAGATGTGAGGCTCTTAATTCCCTAATGTAAGATGATAGGTGTGGGAATATACAACTACCACCTGCACCCTGTCTGTGCCCAAGCTTTGAACTAGCCTCGTTTCCCAGATTTCATGGTTATTCTTGATCTAGGACTCCTGGGATAACTTAGAGTCACATTGTTATACTCAGTAACTTATTGATGTTTGAATGTTTAGAAAAAGAATGAAAATTCATTCCAAAAATGAAAATAGTCACATTTAGATACAAGTTTATTTGAATCAAAAAATTAGAGTTTCTGATTTAAATTTTTAAATATTCCGTATCTTCTTTTCAAACTCAACTCCTACATTCAGCAACAGTCTACGGTGTGTAAGGCATGGTCAGCGCTAGACTAGCGTGAGCCTTCTTCATTTAAACTAAAACTTTTAGGTTGGGAAAGCATATTTTTTGGGTTATAGGCAAATGAATACGTGAAGGTAACATTAAAAGAATTATATATCTATTGGTAAACATTAGAATCTTAACATTTCAGAGGTGGAAAGAGACCTTCCACATGGAACAAAGGGAATTTGTGGTCTTGAAGAATGCATTCTTTGCTTTTGGTAGCCATATGTTGAAAAAAAAAAAAAAAACCAAGCTATATGACATGAAACTACTTGAGAAATTTAGCTAATGAGTATTTGCTAAAAGAACATTAGAAGTTGCCAGTCAGAAGACAATGTTAATGGCTGGGGCAAAAGACAGGAATTTAATGAACTAAGAAATAATGAAAACTACACACATTTTTCTAACTTGAAAATAAAAATGTGTGTTGTATGGCTTAGTCAACAAATTAATAGGACTTTGAGAAATAAAAGCTCCAGCTAAATAACAGTAAGAAATGAATTACATGAGAGGAATTATACAGAAGAAGGCACTGATAAACCTGAGTGAAAAAAAGTTGAGATTTCTGTTATATAAAGTATCTTTTAAAAATCGTATTTTACCATTATCTTTTTAGTGCTAATACTAATTTAGTTTTGTTACCACAACTAAAATGTTGTTAAAATGTTTTTACCCATTTAAAACAAGAATCATTACATTAATAATAATAGGTGGGCGCCTAAGTGGCTCAATGGGTTAAGCCTCTGCCTGCGGCTCAGGTCATGATCTCAGGATCCTGGGATAGAGCCCTGAAACGGGCTCTCTGCTCAGTGGGGAGCCTGCTTCCCCCCAGCACTGCCTGCCTCTCTGCCTACTTGTGATCTCTCTCTCTGTCAAATAAATAAATAAAATCTCAAAAAATAATAATAATAATAACCTAGCAGCTTGACCTACCACTATTCTATAAAACCAAATTTGTCAGAAAATGCCTCTACAGAAAAATTTGAAGGTTGTGACATTGCTCAAAAGGTGTAACAACCTCTGTTTCTCAAATTGGTTTTGTTTTTTGACATGTTTAAATAATAAGAAACCAAAGTGTATTATATATACTCTGCTGCGTTTTTTTTTTTTTTTTTTAAGATTTTATTTATTTACTTGAGAGAGAGAGTGAGAGAGAGCACAAGTGGCAGAGGGAGGAGTAGACTCGCCACTGATTAGGGAGCCCCAGGTGGGGCTCAGTCCTAGGACACTAGGATCATGATTCCGGCTGAAGACAGACACTTAACAACTGAGCCACCCAGCCACCCCACTTTGCTGTTTTTTAAAAATGGGAAAACATCCCCTAATACAGTTCTTTGGGGATTTGTTGTTTTAAGTTTTGAGTGAAAAATAAAATTGTGAGGCAGCTCTCTTGGCTCTTAGGTAATACTTAGTCTAGAGTTCTTTTTATGTTAAGTAAGTTTAAAATTTTTTTTTTATCATTTAGCTAGAAATTATATTTTAATATATTCAAAGATATAAAATTACACTCCTTGTATTGTCTTAGTCTTGGTTACTGTAAAATATAAATATATATATATGTGCGTATATATATATATTCCCTTAAACCTGGGTGTACATGGCTCTCTGTTTCCTTTCAGTATTCGGAATACAGAGTTTAGCTTACTTGGTGTTTTGATATTTGCACTCCATGTAGGCCTTATTTTTCCCCTATGCCTATGATACTGTTCATATTAGTGTTTATAATAGACCATGCCTTCAGCATAATTTTTACCCCATTTCTGTGGGAAGGAGAATATTTGGTCACTTAGAGAGGAATTATATACCATGAAGTTTAAGAGCTCAGGCTCTGGAACCAGACAAACTGGGTTTGAATCCTTCACTACCATGTATTAATGTGTTTGACCTCAGAGCAAGTCACCTTTCTAAGCTTCTGTTTTCTCATTTATAAAATAAGAATAGTAACCCTGTAAAGTAGGATTATGAGGGTTAAAGGAAATAATATGTTAGGTGCTCTGACTGGCACCTGATACATAGTTAGCATTCCGTAAATATTAGCCGTTAAATGATAATGATCAGAACATATTTCATTCGCTACCACATTGTTTTCTAAAACTAACTTTTAATAAATAAAAAATTTTTTTTAAAAAGGAGGGGTGGGACAACTGGGTGGCTCAGTTGGTTAGTTGTCTGCCTTCGACCCAGGTCATAATCCCAGGGTCCGGGGATTGAGTCCCTTGCTCAGCAAGGAGCCTGCTTCTCCCTCTGCCCGCCACTCTGTTTGTGTGCTCTCTCTCTCTCTGACAAGTAAATAAAATCTTTAGGGGCACCTGGGTGGCTCAGATGGTTAAGCCCCTGCTTTCAGCTTAGGTCATGATCCCAAAGTCCTGGGATCAAGTCCCGCATCAGGCTCCTTGCCCAGCAGGGAACCTGCTTCTCCCTCTCCCTCTGCTGCTCCCCCTGCTTGTGCTCTCTCTCTCTGTGTCAAATAAATAAAATCTTTAAAAAATAAAATAAAATATATAAAAATATAAAACTTTTTATGTTCAAAAAAATAATTTTATAATCCTATTGATTAAACCTAATACTAAGCATATTTTGCAGATTTTTACTCGGTTATTACTAGAATTTAAAATTTTCTTATAATCATATCACTCGTGAGATGGTACATGCCACTTGTCAGACTATCCGTAAATATCTGGTTATTTGTCATAATACAATTGGTTTTTCTCAGCTGGGGTTCTACAAACAGATTAACCCTGTAATATTCTGAGGTATCTATTGTGTGTAATGAATTAGCAGCTCTCTGTTACATCCAGCATGGTAATAGTATGTACCATTTTGGAGAGAATTAAGAAAAGAGTCAAAACCAAAATCATCGGGGCACCTGGGTGGCTCAGTGGGTTAAAGCCTCTGCCTTCGGCTCAGGTCATGATCCCAGGGTCCTGGGATCGAGCCCCGCGTCGGGCTCTCTGCTCAGCGGGGAGCCTGCTTCCTCCTCTCTCTCTGCCTGTCTCTCTACTTACTTGTGATCTCTATCTGTCAAATGAATAAATAAAAAAATCTTAAAAAAAAAAACAAAAACCAAAATCATCTGTGTTCTATGATTCAGATGAGGGCTTAACTTTAAGGAACACTATGAGACTAGCCTGTTGGGCAGCTTGACGGTAGGACCTTATTCTCAGAATTAATGACTGTTACTTTTTATTCCTAATTAGATTTAACTTCAAAAGTTAAAGCCAGTTTTAAAAAGAAACAAAATCTGTCAAGGGAGGCTGGGACCTTGAGACTAAATGTGTCCTTCAAGATGGAGAGGTGATTTAACAGTTTCAAGAGCATCATAAAAAGAGGCGGTTTAGGCAGACAGCCAGAATGGTCTGGATAAAAGCGCACATTCCTGGCCTACACTGAGAATGCATTTTATTCAGACAAGTAGGCAGTCACTATTAGGGAGGTCAGTTAATAGGTAATGGGGCCTCAACTTACTGGCCTGGCATTTTAGGATAAGCTTTAATTTCACTTGATTTCCTGTATAACAGATTAAACATAAGTTTATTTCTGGCTCCTCCAAAGCCCTAATGACATAATGAAGGAATAAAACAAATATAAGCCCTCAAGGACAAAGATACCCGAGAAGAAAACAACAGTGGAGAAAGGATACTGATATTTTTGGAAGCTAGAAAGCAGATAAGGACTGATCACTGACTTAACAGAGGAGAGGTCTATAACAGAGCCTGTAAAGGGGGCTACTCAGGATAACAGAGGCAGTTCACAAGGGGTACTTGGTACTCTGGGAAGAAGGTATAAGTGCGGCCACTGAAAACGGAGATTTGATTTTAAGTCTGAAAACTGAATGGATCAACCTCCCCAACCCCCCGCCGTGGAATTCACCTTTATAGATGGTATCAGAAAGGAATGGGGTTTTGTTTTACTCCATATAGTGAGCTGGTTTTCTGAGTACCCTCTATTAAACATCCATATTCTCTTTTGATTTTTGCTATCTTTTTTTAAGTTCTTGAGTATATTTGGGTCATTACTTTCTCCGTTTTGTTTCAGTGGTCTTGCCTCAGTATCACTTGTGCCACTTGGCAAATCCTAACCTGCCCCTTCAGTTCCCTTCTCTACCCTCCCCCCCCAACCCAACCAAACACAAGGAACCTTGAGCTTTATTTTCTAAAGAAATCAAACTAGCAAGATTTCAAATCTGGAAATAGCTACGAAAAGGGCGGGTTGGGGTGTGGCGTAAAGCACAAGGTTGAAATCTGAATTGATGTCAAAGCCTACAAAGTAAATGACAAAAATCACTCCCATTCCCCTGTTCTAGTCCATGACAGGCAGATACAAGATGAAAAATCTAGAAATGGTGAACAGCCCAAGAGCATGTAGACTGATGGAGACTGATGTCATGGAGTTCCATGATGAAGTTATGCTCA